TCAAAAAATGTCTGCTGAGAAAATAGTCACACATTCTTCCATGGAAGGATTTTTTTGTAGTGGTTCCAATATTTCTCATTTCGCAGATGGGAAAAATTTTTCAGTAGCATAGCCTCTGGAAGATCGGGGCTCATTTCCTCACGTTTATAAACTTGTGTGTTGTGTAGTCAGAAAGGACCATTGTGATCATCTAGTTTGAAAATTTCCACACAGAGTCCATGGTATTTTTGTTCCTAGAAACTGGACAAAGGGTGTTCAGAATGAAAGTTTTCCCTGAAAGACTCTTGGCAATGGCAAATCTATCACCTCCTCCATGGAAATTCTTCTGATGTTTAATTAACCTCAGCGTTCAAAAATGTGTTTTATTTCAAGCTTGAATTTGTCTGACTTCCAACAAATTGGATTTCATCATATCTCTGTCTGCAAGACTGCAAATCTTCTCATTATCATAGCTTTCTGTGTCTAAGGACTTCAGTAAAATAATAAGGTGATCCTTCAATCTTCTCTTTGATAAACTGAATAGATAAATTCTTGGTGTTCACATGAGAAGAATTTTTCCAGTTCTACTTTTTTTTTATTATTTTTTAAGCTGCTCTTTAAATGTATGTTGTGTAATTAAAAATTATTTCAAAGGGGCTGGCAAACACTTGGTAATCTCTTTGTAACAAGTAGTAAATTTAACACAGCACACATGGAAAATTTCAAGAGTGCTGCTCAGTCATTCCTGGATGCGGTGACCTCCTCCTGTTAGGTTCGAGAGCTGTACCAGAAGTGTGGGTAGGAGCTGTGGTTGAGGAGAGAAGCCTCCAGCTGACAGATGTTAGCTGAGGTAGGATTTGCTTGCCTAAACAGGGGGGTGCAGTCCTGTTCAGATTGTGAGGAAATACCCCAAATGGCCCCAGCTGCTCTTCTGAAAGGCTTGGGTTTCTTTTACGTCCTGTGTCATATCCACCAGGCAGAAGAATTCAGCTCCTTAGGACACTTGAAATGGTACCTCCTTATATTTATTTTTTTAATAATTGAATCTCACCCTCTGTGTCATTCAGAAGAGTTATGGAACTTAAGAGCATCCTCAGAAGGTTGCCATTATGCAGGTTCTGTATCAGTGGTCAATTTTACCAGGAAGATGTCCCAGAATAACCAACCAGAAGGAGGGGAGTCAAGCCTGTAAGTTTTCTTACTAGTAAAGATGTGGCTTGATGATAATCTGTATAATCTATTGCATTTTCATCTCTGTTGTTGAAAGAATTTTAATCCCCCTAAAGTGTGCCCTGTCTTATCCATAAATTTTATTTTGTTTTTTTTCCTAGGTGCCGTATTGTACTAAATCAAATTCCCAGGAGAAATCCAGCAAATTCTTTTTATCAGTGAAGTTGTTGTAATTAACCAGACTTGTAATCTTGCCAAAAAAGATTAAAGGTTTATTTGACAAGGCCTACTTTCCACAAAACTTAGTTGCCTGATATTATTTACATTTTTACTTTCTAATGTTTGATTAATGAAATCCCAGATTAATTGTTCCATCAAAGAATTAGCCTAAATGGCCTGCTGTTCACTGGTCTGTTTCATTTTTTTCTTTTAACATATATAAATTGTGTAAATGGCAAGCCTGCAGCAATACAGATTGTAATTTAGATATTTTTTCTTTTTTTTAAGAGATATTAGATATTAACATAAGCCATTTACAAAAATCCATAGCTTATTTACTACTCTTGCAGGAATCAGCATGTTGGTTTTAAAATGTTTATTTTCAACACATATTGTTCAATATTGCCCTTTCCTGTAGAGGATGAGACTTATTGCCTATCTCCATTGCATAAGCAATAATTTCTCTGCCTCCATCTAGATCTTTCTAGGCAAGAGAAAAAATCAGCATGGAGAAAAACAGATTATGCACGTAAATGGATGTAATGGATGGATATAAATCTGAAGTTTCCCAGTGACAGCCACAAAGCTTATTTGGGGTTTTCTCTATTGTCTTTTAAGTCATCACTGCTTGTGAAAATACTTTGACAAAAGTAACAGCATCATGAGCATGCGCTGCAGGCCAATGTAATGCGTTTCTCTTATGCCTAAGGCATAGCACTAGGAATTTAAACTTTTGGATTCCTTTCATATCTCTCTGACTGGCATGAAAAATTCTCATTGCCTCAGATAATTGTAACTCCTTGTGCTTATTTTCTCTCTCATCTTTTTTTTTCCAATTGTGCATTCACACTATAAACTCTCTGGGGCAAAGGTTGTGCTGGGTAGTCAGTAATACCTACTGGGCTCCTATTAAAATTATAGGTTTAATGTGTTACCTCCGCACAAATAACTGATAACACCAATGACTGATAGGACAGGCTGCTGATGCTATAAGTCAGATGACCTCCCTTACATCCTTACAGCTTTCATCTCATCAGAAAGCTCTCAAAACACCACAGCCAGTTTGTTACAGAAAACATGCATCTCAGCTGTTTATTTGAAATTTTAATTAGAATGCAAAACAGATGTGATCGTTGCTACCTGCTATTTATTGGCTCTGGGCAATGATTTCTGTCCTCCAACAGCAACCTAAATACAAACTGTTTTATAAAGGCCAACCACATCTGTAATTTATCTTTGGAGTTTTTTCTTTCTGTCTCTTGTGCCATCTCATGTATAGCTTTTTTCTTTCCTTTTTTTCTTGTGTAAGTGTATTTGTGTATAAAATATAGATATAAGAAATAAAAACAGTGCGTGCATTTATAGTTAACAACTCAAGCTACCACAAATCCTTCTTTCCCAACATTCCAGCTGTACTCTCCCTCATCTACATCCTGCCAATAAGTGCTGGAACCTGCACTTCACCCAGGATATTTTTAAGGAGCCTCTGCACCCAAACACATGGCTCAGCAATGTCTTTATTTATAAAGGTCTGTGTAGGTAGCAAAACTGTTGCAGATATGAATATGTGTATGAGATGAGTTTGAAGACCCAGTTTGGAGATGACAGGAGAGACACTGTACAGCCACAGACTGATTCCTCAGAACACGCTCTGTGGGCTGCAACTGGAACTTTAGACCTTATACCCTTTAATAGAAGTTGGACTCATCAAGTTAGGATGAGCTCTTCTCTGTAGGTAGGACTAAGCTCCCTTGTCTTCAAATGCTTTTCTGCTCTGTCTTCTCTCTTCCAACCCTTTGGCTTCAGCAGTATTTGCTTCAACTCACTACTTTGATGGACTCAGCAGGCCACAGGCAAAGGTGATGTTTAAAGTATAGAGGATGTGAGCAGCACACTAGGAGGTGTTATGAGTCTAAGAACTGATCTGTACAACATCATTCATTTTCAAGGGCTATTGGCATTGGTGAGATCACTTGTATGATCCAAATATTCACCAGTGTTAGGTCTGCACAGGCTAGGCCAGGAAAGAGATATCATTCTGCCCTCTTATTTGTTGCTAAAATTTCTAAAATTTCTCTGCTCTAAACCAGTCCCACTCTGTAAAAATATTTGTCCTAACAAATAAGACTGTCAGATTTTATATTTCTGTAGTATCAAACTGGCCCAGTCTCTTCTGTGGGTTGACCCAGTTACTGATTTTTAAGACCGTTGATTATTGGGCCCAGTCACGTTTAGTATCTTTATTGATGACCTAGAGGAGGAGACCAAATGTTCCCTCAATAAATTCGTGGCTGTCACCAAACTAAGTGGGAGAGTGGTACTGCTGGAGCAAGGAGAGCTCTGCAGAGGGATCTGGAAATGTCAGCCAAGACCAGTGTATGAAGTTCAATAAGGCTGAGTGCTGGGTTCTGCACATGAACCACATCACTCCATGCTGCAGTCTGGGGAAGAGTGGCTGGAAAGCTGCCCAGCACAAAAGGACCTCAGGGTGCCGGCCAACAGCAGAACAGTGCCCGAACATGAGCCAGCATGTGCTCAGGTGGCCAAGAAGGCCATTGGCATCCTGGTTTATATAAAAAATAGTGTGGCCAGCAGGACCAGGGCAGCGATTGTCCCCTTTTACTTGGTACTGGTGAGGCCTCACCTCGAGTGCTGTGTCCAATTCTCAGCCCCTCACCACAAGAAAGACTTTGAAGTGCTGGAGCATGTCCAGAGAAGAGCAATCAATGGAGCTGGTCGAAGGTCTGGAGCACAAGTCCTATGAAGAGCAGCTGAGGGAGCTGGGGGTGTTTAGCCTGGAGAAAAAGAGGTGACCTTATCACCCTCTACAACTCCCTGAAAGGAGGCTGTAGCCAAGTGGGGATCAGCCTCTTCTCCCAGGTAACCAGAGGACACAGCTTCAAGATGCACCGGGGAGGTTCAGGTTAGACATCAAGAGAAATTTCTTCACTGAAAGAGTTGTCAATCATTGGGACTGACTTCCCTGTGGAGTCATCATCCGTGGAGGTGCTCAAGAAAGAACTGAACATGGCATTCAGGGCTACGGTCTAATTGACAAGGTGATGATCAATAAAAGACTGGACTCAACCCCAGAGGCCTTTTCCAACCTAAATGGTTCTGTGACATCAACTTTATTCTTGTAACTTGCTCATGTGCCTCAGTCTTAACATGTAACCTATGTAATCCTACCCTCAGTGCAAAGCCTGTCTAGAATATTAATCTCTATACATTGCAGCTCTAGCAGTGTTCACACAATGTGAACGAAGTTCAGTGATTTACAAGTGTCTAAACCCATCAAATGTATTTTTGATGACAGAGTAATTTACCATCATTTTTTTTCTCAAAATAATTTTAAAAGTATATGAGTCACCAACAGATTCAAGGCAAAGTCCAGAAGTTATAACCAAGGGAAAGAAAATAATCTTTGGTGTTCAACAAGCAAGTTCTTAGAGAATTCCAAAAATAAAGGGCAAAAAATGACTAAAGATTACTACATGGATGAATAAAACATAAACCAGTGGCATGTTGATTAGAATGGTTTTAAGAGTAGTAAAAAGTAAACTAAAGTTCCCACTGTTAAAAAAGTGCAAGATAATTTTGTTACGGAGAACCCCAATTGACATTCAACTTACAAGAAGAGCTCAATAAAATTTCTGTGCTGGAGAAATTGAAGAATTCTGAAATATAGGAGCATAGGACTGTATCCTGGATTCAGAGCACACTTAGCCTAGACTTCTGCCTTCAACAGTGGTCACTAGTGGAAACCTAGGAAAAGCAAGAACAGGATAAGCAAGTACAGTACTTTCTACTCTAACACTTGTCCACGGATTTCTTGGGCTTTTTGTGTTTTGTTTATGCAGCAACACCAATAAATATCTCCACCAAGCTCCTCTCCCATCTCTCACTGAGCCCTTCTAAACTCCTTGTACCTGCAACATCCATTGGTAAGGCGTCCCAGGAATCTGTTACATGGAGAAGCACTTACTCTTGGCATTGCACCAGCAGTATCCCCTGGCACACCTTCAGAGTAAATTTATCAAAAAAGAGGTGACTTAAGAGTGATCCAGAAATTCCTGAGTGAATGCTGTAAGAGATACGGATTGATTGTGATGAAAGTACATAGCATAAGTCACAAATATGCACCTTCATCCACTTAAGTAACAGTACACAGCAGTAGCAACACTAACAACCCCAATAACTTAATGCTTTTATGACTAAAATGCTTTTTTTTTTTCCTCACTTTTCTTTGACATTTGAAAAACTCAGCAAGCTATAAGGCCTGAAGCAAATTACCTTGTAATTGCACTGGGGCATCTCTGTTTGGTCTGTGGTTATCACAACCAAAACTGGCTGTCAAAAAACTCAATTTCCTCTGCTCAATGAAATGCACTGCTCCATTTCTGAGGGCAGTGATCTCAGCCAAGGGAAAGCTAATTGCTACTAGCTGCCACCTGAGATAAGAGACACCTACAAGTAACCCAATATGTATCAAAATGGGCAAAGAAAGACACCACAGTAAACATAAAGTCATCAAATCTTGTGAATCCTCTGTATCAACAAAATATACAATTGCTTCAGTGCCCTACCTTAGGCAACAGAATCTTAGACAAGTCAGACTGTGTGGCCATAACACAGCAAAAAAGACTGCTTGTCTTCTTACCCAAACTTCATAATTTCAGTTAGACGGCGAGAAAATGCAAACAGTTTTAGTAGAACCAGCACAGTCTGAAGAACAATTTCCAGTAAGCTACTTACAGACGCAGCTGTTGGGCATTGAAACCATATGAAGGAGCCAGTTTATCCCAGCTATGACAAAATTGCCTAAAGAAACACCATTCTGCAGCCATTAGTCTGAATTCCAGTAAACTTCTTCCTAATACCGGGGGTTTGGCACCATTTATTGAAAGTAAAACCACTTATAGTAATTGCATTTTTCCCATCAATAAATTCAGGAGATACTGCTGGTGCAATTATTTGCAGTAATTGCATTTCTCCCATCAATAAATTCAAATATATTTTCACATTTTATATTAACCAGTAACAGTAGAATATGATGAGCATTTATGGATGAGCCAATGAAGCAGATAAATAAATAAATAATAATAAACCCAGCTAAATTAAGTCTAGACTGATATGAAACCGCATCTCAACACTGATTCGGGTACATGTAGTAAGAGTCTTCTACTCAGCAGGACTGTGAGTATCAGAGCACTTGATATCCACAGGCACAATAAGATTCAGATATCAGCAGAGCATGAGCTGCAAATGGCAATTTCTCACTGACACCTTAAACAAATTGTAATTGTTATCTCAGTCTGTTCAAATTAGCTCTTCAAAGAGAACATGCCCTTGAATAAAACAGATCAAGAGATTTTTTTAAAAAATTTTTTTAGCCTGGTATTACACCTAGGACCATAAAATGATTATGATACCGCCCAAAGGTGGTGGATCAATGAAAACTACCAGTATATGGATGATAGAAGATAATGCTAATTACCCATAAATGAGATTTAATAGTCAATCATGGGGGTATGAAAATGAAATTACATCACTAAAAGAAATTGCTATTCACAAGAATAGCTGGCCAATAAGTAATTTTTCAGTTGGGGATGAGGATTGGAGAGCCAGGGCAGGAGACAAGTAGACTGGAGGATTGAATAGCTCTGTTGAACCCAGCACAGATACTGCTGCAATCCTCAAAACTTTTCCATTTAAGAGGACATTATAGTGACCCATGCCAAACTGTTCCCAGAAGTCCCCATGCCATGGGCCTCAGATCAGCTTCTGTCTCATGGTTGATTTTCCAGCAATTTGATTAGAACAAATCTTTCATGGCTCTGTATTACTTCATGTGTCACCATCAGGGTAATCCTTTTTGTTTCCAGCTTGCTCTGTTAGCTTAATACACTCTCAACCTTTTCCTTCAAAGAAACTCGACCACAAATGTGAGAATTCCAGGCTACCACCTTGAAGTGGTTACAAACAATTTGTTCATCTGTTTGTGCAGCAGCCTGAGCTGCTCTTAAATCCCATTGAGATGATTAAGGACTCAGCATGTCAGGACAGCCAGTTTGTGTGCACACAGGCTGTGCACACAGGACCGGAGCATGTGGAATTGGGCACATGCCGAGGCCTCCTGCTGATCCTGCAGCACAGAAGAGTAACCAAGCCTCAGCTCTATACAAAAAACATCCTCAACAAACAAACAAAGAAACCTTCCAAAACCCCTGAAATACTGCAATCAAAACTACTAGACACTTCTGAGTATGTTGCTTTCCATTTTTTCCTCACAGCTTTCTCAGTTATTAAGGAAGATTATGAAACTTCCTAAGCTTTGCAGAGCTGTTTCAAAACCTCAAACAAAATATACTACACTAGAAAAGAGGACAATTTATGCTTTTCTAACCTGTACTACTGGAGCAAGCTGGAATAAGGCTGCTCCCAAGCATGAAGCTGTTCAGACATTAATACAGGATATTCCAAAAGCATCACTCACAGACTCTGAGTCCCATTCCCCTCATATCACTGCCATTGCAGAATATTGCAGATGACCTGACAAGAATGGAGGTGTAAGTCAAGAAAAATTTTCTCCTTGAAGAAGTCAAAGCACCAGCTGTATTTTCAAACATCCATAACCCTGATGATTTTACTGACTATAATTGGATGAAAAGAAAGCAATATTGACTTTGTGTTCACTAATAGAATCACTGCTCTTGACAAGTTGCAGATCCACCAGGAGCTGTACAGGAAACATCATCTGAAGCAGCTTGGGGTTTAACAGGTTGCTGTTCTTGTTTTTATTTACCCAGTGCCACTCATTAAACCTGAGATGCAAACAAATAAATTATTCCTATCACACCAATTATACACACTCCATAATGAAGCCAGAGAGCCCAAAGCTGTCAGAAAGCCCTTTCTTTGTAATGACTCTGCAGAAGTTTTATTTCAGAGTTTCTCTCTTAGACATAATTTCTTTATGGGAGTTCTCCATTCTGTATTAGTAGTGACAACTGGCAAGTTGCTTGCTAAGGCAGAAGTTATTTTAAGTCATATTGCTACAGAGTTTCCAGTCCCTACCTGTTGACAATATCTGTATCTATCCATATTTTTGCTCTTTTAGACCTAGTCTTGCAAAACTGATCCATCTCAATAAGTCTGTTTTCTGTGATGGCTTCCCTGACTTCTGTATTTTAACATGAGGAATGTAATCTTATAATGCAATCTTATGCATGTACTCAAGACTTATAAAAAACTTACCTGAGTTCCTGATGCCACAGTGTGCTGTGTTCCCACCTTGTTGCTCATACAATAAGTGGGGATGAGGAGGGCATCCAGATATCAATGTAAAACACTTTTGTGCTTTGGGATTTTTGTCTTTAGCACACTGCGGATACATAGAGGTGATCGGATTTGCTGCCTGGTGTTTGGGAAAGCTGTAGGATGGTGTGCTAACACCATGTCAGGAGCTAGGTAACTGGGGGAGTCATAAGCAGAGTCTGGCTTACTCCACACACAAAGCATCTGCCTATATGAAGAGAGAGAAGAAAATATTTTGCAGCCTCCAAATGATACTAAACACTGCCTGTTTCTCCCCCAGTGCAAGCAGAAAAACCAATAAGAACAATTTGCTGTACAAGATATAATCACATCTCTAAGAATCGATGCCTTCCAGCATCTCTTTGGGAACTGGTTCTTCGTACAACTCCTTACTGTGGAGGACAGACCACATCTAAAGAGCACCTCATAGCTATCAAAAATACCTGATTTGTGCCTTCTTCAAAGTGCTGTACTCCTACTCAAGGGGGTATAAACTGAAGGCTTACTTAAGCTTGAGGTCCTTTCAAAATCAAGTTTTAAAGTACAAACATTTCTAATAATTCAATTTCCACAGCTCCAACTTGGTTTTCATAACATGGTTATTCTTACTTGTAGGCCTCTACATTGATTAGAGGAGTGTTTGGTACTCTCAATATTTAGAATCCAATTTCACTTCTTCAGAAAAGTATTTTACTTTACTAAGAGATACTTTGATTATCTAGCTAGATAATTACTCTATTTTTCTCCATATTTTCTATCTTTCCTGACATCTCCATTAAATTTTATGGAATCATTCATTTAATGACGCATTGCTTCCATTTTGTCTTTCCACTTTCTACATTTGCTTCACTTTAGGACAAACTGTGCCATCATAGCAGAATCAAAAGACCTGCAGCTAACAAAACAAAAAACCCCAGAGTCTGAACCTCAGCGATTCAATAAGCTTTACAAGGCTCAAGATCAAGGACATAGGAATTTAAATCTCTATTTTCAAGCAAAGCATTCAATCACTTTGTTCCTTTGCTTTGCTACTGCTCCTAAATAACACTAAATCCTCACAGTTATATTTTCTAAAAAGCAAGGTGGAGGTTTTATTATTTCCTCCAGAAACAATGTGACTTTGCAAGATTGTGAGAAGACTGCTGGTCTACCCTGGGCTTAGCATAACTTTGGGCAGAAAACCCTTGAATGATTGCTTAAAATCTTATAATTTGGGTTGTTTTCCTCAACATCATATTCTTTGGCAATTGAACTTGACATAACATTACTTATTTCTGAAATATTTAATTTTGCTTCAAGACAGAGGGCTCAAATGTACCATTTTAGATTCTCCATTCCACTTGAAAATAGAATAATAGAATAATAGAATAGCTAGGTTTGGAAGGGATCTTAGAGATCATTTTGTTCCAAGCACCCTCCCATGGATTTATTCAGATCTCCATGGTCATCCAGACCCCCATACAACTTGGCCTTGAACACCGTGAGGGATGAAAAGTCCACAACAAATAAATAAAGTCTATTTATTTGTTTCTTTATAAAATAAAATTAACAGCTGAAATTACTAACATTTTAAAGCTATTATTTTTAAAGCTATTATATATACATAAATCTATAAAAAATTCATTATCTTATTTTTAATGTACATTTTTACATTTGTTGGAGTTCCTCAGCATCCATGGCCTTTTACCACTACTCTCATAGGATCATTGAATTGTTTGGGTTAGAAGGGACCCAAAGACCATCTAGTCCCAACCCCCTGCCATGGGCAAGGACACCTTCCATGATCCCAGCTTACTCCGAACCCCATCCAGCCGGCCTTGTACACTTCCAGGGATGGAGTATCCACAGCTCCTCTGAGTAGCCAGTTCAAGTGCTTCACCACCCTCTGAGTAAAGAATTTATTCCTAACATCTTTTGTAAACTCACCCTCTTTCAGTTTAAAATCACTGCCCCTTACACTGTCACTATCTGTCCACATAAAAAGTCCCTCTTCCTCCCTTTCATAAGACCCCTTTAGGTACTGGAAGGACAAGGTAAGCTTGGCCTTTTCCAGGATGAACAACCCCCAGCCCTTTCCACCGCTCTGATCATCTTTGTGGCTCTCCTTTGGGCTCACTCCGGAGTTATATGCCATGTCCAATGCTAAGCATTAGGGAAGAGTGTCTTCGATGCAGAAACCCGTGTTGCCAGTCCTGAATTATCTTGCAGAGCTTGCAGAAGATGGAATATTACTTATGAATTACCACACCCAAAATTTATTGCAAATCTACTATGAGCTTCCAACTCAAATATAGGTCCATTCTTTCTTCCTGAGGGTCTTTGTTGTTACACTTAGCTTGGAAGTATTTTACATTATAGTTATACTGACCTTTTGGGCCACCACTGCTTCAGGCATTTGCTGAAAAGAACATGACTGCTGCCCAACAGATCCAATATCCTCCCTTCATCCAGGCAGAAAATCACACAAAGCAGAGAATTCGAGTGAAATCCAAGCCTACAAATGAAAAACAGGTCAGTGGAGCTCTTCTCCACTCAGATCACCATGAGGTGGAACATTGCAAGTTGAGCCACAAGAGAAAAGGTGACAATGGCACCCAGCACTGCTAGTGAGGTGGGGATGAAGCTAAATCTGGTTTTGGAGCTCCTGAAGATTAACACAGTCATTTAACCACTGCTTATTCAACCACTTCCCTCAACAGCTGCCCATCCCAGGTTCATCTATAATATTAAAACAGCCCCTTGTGAGCTTAGTTTTATTTCCATTTTCTAGGAAGGATGTACAGATTTTGGAGGGAAGCCTTTCTCATGTTCTGAGTTCACAAGGATATGATACTCATTTACAGTCCTTCCAGACATACAGCTGATAGTTTTGACTTATGTTGTTGTATAAAATGTTAATGTTTAAATGAAAAATGTTAGCTCAAATTGAAAAGTGAAAGCATGGTTTTTAGTTTGTAGAAACAAAATAGGCTGGCATTTACAAAAAAAAAAAAAAGGTTCAGTTTTGGAAAGGGCAAAGGGAAATGCTCTTGTTAGTTTTTGAATGGACTCTTTAATTATTATTTTAATGAAGCTTGAATCTTCCTGCTATAGCCAAATACATGCATAATTTCAACCTCAACAAATCAATTTTGTCAAATTCCTATTTATAAAGAAACAAAAGTCTGAAAATGTGTCTAGTTTTTCTAGCTATCTCTTAGTCTACTGAGATAATATCTCACCCCTTTGTCTGACACAGCAGCAGGTAAGAGCTGAGATATGAAATACCCCATGCTGCTCAATACTGCTTGGTCCCAGAAAATTGCTGTTACCTCAACAGCAGCTTTTGTCCAGCCCTCTCCAAGCTGATCAGGGGAAGCTTAATTAAGGTTTACAGTAACTCTGTAAGGTAAATGAATACTACTGTCATTTTTCAAAGAAGTCAGCCAAGCCAAAAAAAAACAAAACAAAAAACCAAAAATGCTGCCTAAAATTAAAAAAATACAAGCACATGAAAGCCAGGAGCAGAATTGCAAGAATCACAGTCATGAGCTCCAAGTACTAGCACCAGAATAAGCTTACAGTTATATGAAACTCCTCATGTTAATTAGGTTAATCACCTGCAGATTCCTTTTCTAGCAGCTTCTTTCTCTGACTATTCTGGCACATTATGTAAGAAGCCTCTGGCCATAATGGGCAGTCTGAGCTACCACTCAAAAATTTGAGAGTATTTTTTGCTAATTGTAAACATTATCAATTTCACATGCTCATTCAGGTGATAAAAGCACTTGATTTCTATTTACCAGGAAGCTGATAAGCAGACAGCCAAATGATGTTATTTCCACACCAGGGGGTTTGCTGTTCTCTGCATCTGTCCATTGTAGCACCAAAATCATTCTGCCTCTTGAACATTCAGGGATATTGTCAGCCACCAGGCTTTACTTATTGACAATTTCATCATTTATCCTGAATGTTCTTTAGGGGAACATCTTTCATATCTGAAAAATGTCTAAGAGGTAGTGGAAGCTATGGCAAATACAAAAAAAATATTCCTCTAAAAAAATGCAGTTGATGTACAGATAGCATTTAGTGGGGTGCAGGTTCAAACCAACAATTGAGCTGACGAGAGTTGTGTGCTTGGCTATCTGGAATATCATGTTCTTAAGACAGTATATTGTTGCTCTCTCTGACTATGAACTCAATACAGAAACACAAAAAAGCACTGTCTGAGGGTTCATTAATGTTTTGATTGACTAACTTTTCCACAGCCAGCAAAGTTTGAAGGGACTGTGGGTTTGCAGGAGAAACAAGGCCAGCCCACGCATAGTAAATGATATTTTCCTGGTATTCTCTTGTTGAGAAAGACAACTCTGAATCTATGACTGACAATAAAAAAACCCTCAGCTTTATTGGAGTAAGCTGGGCTCAGAATCCAGGTCCCATATCATGTTGCTAAGGCACAAAATGTTTTATATCTGCCTTCAGATATCATATCTGTCACTCATTGCACAGGATTCTTGGAGGGCTTTATTGACATTAGCAAACAAAACCTACACAATCTAAGTGTGGTGTCATCACTGGCACTTCAAGGGAGCTGTGAGAAAACAGTTCTGGGCTTTGGCTGGCTGTGAATATCATTAATTGGTTCTTTAGTTGCTTTATTCTCTTTACAAGAGACAGAAGTGGGAAGTTCAGAGAACTGAAAATTAACAGTGATGGATCTAAGAGTCAACAGAATAATTCATTTTATATACCCATTAGGAGAGCAAGCTGTGAAACCAACTTTTCAAGATAGGAATCAAAAATGTGTTTCTCTTAAGTTTTGGCAGATCATTGACAGTGAGAAAAAGTAGACTTACAATAAAACTTAAGGCATCCTCCAGTCCAATCTCTTTATATGATACAGGAGCAAGAATTACAGCACCAGATCTGAAAGGGATATCCTTATGCAGATATTCCCCCGTGCTTACCACTCTCACAGGTGTATTTTTCTCACTGATATCATTCAGATGCCACTCACATGCCACCAGTATGTTTACATTTTCATTCCTCTCAGGAAGGTCTCCTGTAATTACCAAGGAACAAACTAAATGCACACAGCTGAGGAGACTCACTTAGGAGACCAACCCAGGATATAAAAACACATAAAGAATAAACTACCCCAGTACAAATGAATGTCAAAAACCTAAAAATAGTTATTGCAAAAGTAATTAGGTGAAACAAACAAGGCTCAAAAGAAAACAGCCCTAAATGAGCTGTAGCTGGAATTGCTGAAACGTGCCAAGACTTGTGTGAATAAAGATGGCAATAATAGGACAAAGCCTTTGTGCTTAGCTAATAAATCAAAGGGAAACACAATTCCCAGACACATGCATTAACCACTGTATCTGTGGAAGAAATAATGCTGTATATGAAATGTGCCACTGAATACATTAGGCAGTAGAAAGATCATTCTGGAGACAAAGGGATGTCAGATATCCAGTCATCTCCTGATCATAGATATTGATTTTGGCTAAGTACACATCACAAAATGGAAAGGAGCAAATAAAACAAGACATCTCTTGGAAACCAAAATTATTACATTATCATCCAGAGATTATCAGGGAATAGGACATGTTGAGTTATTGTGCTGGGTTGCAATGTCAGTATTTGATCTATAGTCAGACAGCTGAGTAATGATCATGTCTCACATAAGGGTGAGAGAGGTGATTGAGGGTGGTGAGACACTGGAATAGGTTACCCAGGAGATTGTGGAATGCCCCACACTGGCACCATTTACAGATCATAGAATCATCAAAGTTGAAAGAGATTTTTAAGATCATCCTGCCCAACCATGAACCCAGCACTACCACTGTAACTCACTAAAAACATCATCCAGTGCCAGATTCAGGGGCCTCTAGGGCTGGTGACACACCACCTTCCTGGGCAACTTTCTCCAATGCCTGACCATTCTAACAGTGAAAAAGATTTTTCCTCATATCTGATCTGAATCTTCCCTATCTCAGCTTAAGACCATTTCCTCTGGTCCTCTCACTGCAGGCACGATAGAAGAGACTGGCCCCCACCTCACCACACCTTCTTTTCAGGGAGTTGTAGAGAGCAATGAGGCTCCCCCAGCCTCCCCTTCTCATGACTAAACAAAGAGCTGCCTCAGCTCTTCCTCACAGGACATATTTTTGAGATCTTTCACAAGTCTTGTTGTCCTTTACTGGATATGCTCCAGTATCTCCCACATCCTTTTTAAAGTGAAGGACCCAGAACTGGGCACAGCACTTGAGGTGTGTCCTCACCAATGCTGACTACAGGGGGACAGTCACTGCCCTGATCCTGTCCATGCTATTCTTGATAGAGACCAGGATGCCACTAGCCTTCCTGGCCACCTGGGCATATTGCTGGGTCATGTTCAGTCACTGTCAGCCAACACCCCTGGTCCTTTCTGCTGGACCCTTTTCCAGCCACTTCACCCCAAGCCTGTAGCACTACATAGATTTATTGTAGCCAAAGTGCAGGACTCGAGATCTCCATGCCATTAACATCCCTGGCTAAGACTCTTATGTGCCATAAAACCAATAATTCATCCCAGCTGGTAACCTGATGAAGTAACAGCAAGTCCCTGTTTCTGCTGGCTCTCTAATAAAAAGTAATAAAAATAGTTCAGATAATTTCACTACTGAGCATTATCTCCCTTCTGAGTCAAAGATCTCACAAAATTTTTCAAGGTGGAATAAAACCCCATAACAGAAGAATTTTTATAAATATTTCCAAGTTGTATTTATCATGTTAAATATACTAATTAAAAAAAAAAAAAAGTGGGAACACAACAATGTAACAAAAACTGTATTAAAATGAATGCCTAAAATATATATTTTTAAATGTCTCTAGAATTATTGACTCTGCTTTTCTTTAAAACTTAACCTTCATAATGAGTCTTTATCTCTGTTTCCTTTCTTCCTGTCCTCATTTCTGTCATACTTTTTCTATTCTCACAAATGTGATTATCACTTCATCAGTCTACAAGGGCAAAAAACAAAATAACAGCAGCATTTCTAAGAAAATAAATATCCCACTGATAGTATACTACAATTAATTTGCTCAGTTACCTTCAACCACCTCAATACAGAGGTCTAGTGGTATTTCCATTTTCTTTCTTGACTGGCCCCATGCCTGTCTCACCTCCCCTTTGATTCTTTGAACTTTTTTACATTTCCTCTCATAGATTGCAGCCTGACTTTTTGTCTGACTCCGGCAGGAGATTCCCCATCAGGCATAATCTTTCTGCTAATGACAAGCAGTACCAGAAAAGATGGCAACCATAATGATAAAAGATTTTTAGTACCTTTTATGCCAGGTTTCCAAGTTTGGCAAGGTTGAAAAAAAAAAATTGGCTCAGATACTTGTTACAGAATCCTCTAACCTGACAGTTGCTTTGGAATTCCATCCAAATCCATTCAAATTCCATCCATCTGAAACTGGATTCTATTCCAGCTAAAGCCAAAGAAATATATTTATGTGAAGAAAAAAAACGTAGCTAACAGATACCGGCAATAAAATTTAACTGAATTTTTTATAAGATTAAAAGTGCTTCTAGATAAATAGCAATATTTCTCAATCCATATTTTATGGAAACCACTGGGTTGTTTCACCTGAACCATACAATCTAACACCTGCAATTTTACCTTGCCAAATTTATCTTTGTAATTGTAATTATATGGAAAACCAAAATATTTCCCCAATATGATTGACAAATCAACATTTTTTTAATACAAAAATGTATTCTTGATTGACTATAATAAAATACATTACAGACAAGATTTTAAAAACAGTGTTAATAGAAAAATCTAATTCTATGCTGATTCTCTCAGCAGAGCAGACCTTGGCCTGTTTAGGGTCCTGCTGGAAGGAATATCATGGAGATATCTCACTTCCTAGACAGAAGGGAGGTCCAGGAGAGCTGGATGATCTCCAAGGATCAGCTCCTCCAAGCTCAAGAATGGTCCATCCTGACGAGCAGCAATGGAGCAGTGGTGGATGGAAACTTCCATGGAAGAGCAAGCAGCTCCTGACCAAACTGAATCATAAAAGGGAAAGGTGCAGAAGGTGGAAGCTGATCAGATGCCCTGACAGGAATGTCAAAGCTCTGCCAGAGCATGCAGGAATGCATGAGATCAGGAAAGGCAAAGCACAGCAAGAATTTAATCTGATGAGGGACATGAGGCACAACAATAAGAGCTTCTAAAGGGATATCAGCTATGTCTGTGAGCATGGGAAACCTAACATATTTTCCTTTTGGGGGCATAGATTAGTGTGAAGAGAAATAAAAATACACAACATTCTCAATGATAAAATGGAAAGGGGCAACTTGAATGTTATCAAATTAAGGCTTCAGTAACATCCTCCAAATATTTCTGAAACAAAATATTTTATAGTATTTTTTTAATCTGAATTTTAGAGTAGAAATATTTAATACTGAGAGAGAAGACAGAATTTCAAAATGTCAGAATTCCCAAGAAGGAAATTTCCAAGGTTTGAACTCTACTGTTTTACTTTGACTATAGTCTGAACTTTCTACGTGGATGACAGCCAAATACAAAGTTTTGTGGATTACAGTTTAATTCTTTCAGCCAAGAATTATTCTAAAATACAGGTTAAAATATGTTAGTAATTTCTCATAATCATTCAGAAAAAGTTCCATTCCTACCCTTTGATTTAGAATAAAACTTTAAAATTCCCAATTTTGAATGACTAAAAAATGGGCTTCTTGTCACTCCCAAGAAAATTCGTCTGGCTCTGGCTAAGAATTACAGCTTTAAAAAGGTTAAATTTTATCATTTTCTAATTGTTGAAATGACTGATTCAGCAGCTTGTCATTTTGGAGAGCCTTTGGGGTTTTTTCTCCCCTGCAATTTAGCTATTAAAAAAATTGTGTATATGTAAGCAGAAATTGCAACACTTTAGAAAAATGTTCTAAATTACCACAAATTCAGGCCTCAGTAGTGATAGTAACTCAAAGAGTATCATGGATTAAAGGTCAGGTGTTGATATTCCTGGCTACAGCGTAAACAAAGCTTGGTACAGTTACAGAAGTGGCTTCTGAGCAGTTCCATGTGCAGATGTGCTTACAGGCGCACGCATAAAGAATGTCACCTCACAATAAGGCATCACCCTTCCTCCCTCCCTTCCTTGGCGCCGGTTTCATTTATGGAAGAGGTTTAAAGCTTATTGCTTCAAGTCTGGTGCAGAAAATACTCACAGCCTTTTTTCAGATGCATACACTCCCAAATGTGCATTTAGCCTCAGGTGCACTAACATCCTCATCATTCCCATCTCTTGAAGAGCAGGAAATTATTTACTAAGTGAAAGAGGTTCTCCACAATCAAAAGGACAATACAAAGACAAAATCAGAAATCATGTTCACCCATTAGAGATCAAAATAGGAAACAAAAAGCAACCAATTGCAAAATAACCACTTAGAAAGCAACAAAACATTTTTCATCTGTAGCACTGAAGGTGTTTTACAAGCAACGCCAATATCTTTTTCCCCATTTGAAAAAGCAGAAAGGCATGCAGAGGTGAAATGGAGAAGGCCACAGCTGACATGGCAAACAGGAAAGAAAACTCAGATAAAGTCACTGGGTAATGCTGTCTTTTTAAAGAGGAAATTTAAAGGCGTCAGCTGGGCATCCCCACTATCAACAGCAGACAGCTCCCAGACAAAATGTGATGTAAGGGACACATCTTGTAAAGAACAACTTCTCATCTGGGGTTAAACAGGGATTAGAAAACACAGACCACACAAGTCACAATAATTTCCAGGAGCATCTTTTTGTATTTTTCAGAAACTCAGTAACAGCTGTCAGTTTGACAGTGCTTTGGGCGTGCAATGGAGCAGGTCAGGTTGATGTCTGCTGAGGATACAACTGGCCTGCAGAATTTCAGCATAAAACCATTGAACTTTGTTGAATAAACAGCTTTTCTCAGTCAAGGGTGAGATAAGAACTTTCTTATCTCTAAAGAAAGTTTTGTAAATATAAATTACATTTTTGTGTTAGCTTTTTCTATGCAAAAAAACATAAATCAGCCCAAGACTGATAATATTTATATGTTTATATACAGGCACAGTAGCATCTGCACACAATTTTTAAATAGGATACTAAGATTTGTAACTTTATCTTGGTTCTCAATGGCTCTTTATAGCATTAATTAATCATAAAATAGGAGTGTTTCATTTCTATTGGCAATGTGCTTTAAAGAGTGTAAGAAACCATCCCATCTTAAAAGGACAGAAACCCAAGACATATTAGAAGTTCCCTACTGGAAGGGATTTTTTGTCCTTTTTTTGCCCCTCATCTTGCTCCACTACTTTTAGATGTTCCTGTCCTAGTCCTCATCAAAAGAACAGGAGAACTTTTTTCATAGGCAAAACCTGAAGTTCTAGCTTCTAACCAGAACAAAAGATATTTCACTTAAAATTGTGCTGGCTTTATTTATCAAGGGCTTGCTTTCTCAGTCAGCTTTTGGACAAGCATCTCAACCACACATTGACTTCAAAAATCCCCAGTGCTGCAGCCTGGCAGTCCGATAAGCCCCCAGTCTGTTACTCAGGTATCTATCTCTGAGAGCCATCTTGCTCCTGAGTATGACCTCATCTTCCACTGGATAAAAGTAAAAATAAACCCTTTGGAATTTGTCCTTTGTTCCCTAAGAGTGTGGATTTCTTTCATTATAGTTTCTGTGCTCCACCTGCAATTAAATCATCTTGATTTTCAAAGCCAAAAAGCAGGGATGAAATTTCTAACAGCCTTTATAAACTGAAACCAGTTGGTGATTAGCATACCTTTATCAGACCAACTACCATGCATGCCAATTTTTCTTTTAAATCAAGCAGTGATGAGGAAGATGACTCTTAGAAAGAAGCAGGATGAAGAAGCACAGGTTCTCCATGACTCACCGTGGGAGTTTAATCTTTTTTATGTGTTTTTTATTAGATTACAGGCACTGAGATTTCTAAAAGTATCAATATGCTATTGCTTGTGTCTACGACTTATTATTAATTTTATGTAGCTGCTGAATTAGATAGTCACTGCTCACAGAAATATCTCAAAGGCTCATTTTCAGTGGTGCTTTTTACTTACAATGGAAGGTACTAAACCTTTGGCAAAATAACTATCTCTTGCAGAGGGGTAGAAGTTGACAGATGAAGGGAATCATCCAAGGCCACAAAACAAAATCTATTGCCAAGTCAGAGTTGAACCCAGATAACCTGGATATTACTAAAGTCTTCTGTGGATTGATCAAGTAATTGATGTTTTCCATTTAATCCAGTTACCCATACAGCACACACGGTACACTAAGTACTTGAATTTTCAGTGGAACAACATGTTTTCTATGTATGTGAGTTAGGCAGGGTTTAAGAATAGAAAATAGCTCCAAGATAATGATTTAAAAACAAACAAACAAAAAGAGTAATATATTCCACAGTTTCATTTTGCAGGTTTGAAAGCAAATTTGAGCAGTTCTAATGATGACCACATAGAAGATAGTCTGTGTTGCCAAAAAAATTTTGAGAGAGTTGCATTTGTGAGGCAGCCAACAGAGAGAAGGTAGAATCTGATTAAATTTCCATTTAAATAAATACCTAGTGACCAGAGATAAAAAAATAGAACTAGAAAAAAAGAGTGATTTATAATATAAAGTATTACAGAAAGCCATGGACCTCCCAAAACCTGCAAATGCAGTCGTCCAGGATAAGTTCCTTTCCAGGAAACAAATGTTAGTTTGACACAGCATAAATAGCCAGCTTTAATAGATTCAATTTACAGTCTGGCCTCATGAAGGAAGGTCCAGCAAGACTAAGAACACATTAGTAGTAAAAACATCAATGCATGCCTGCAAAGAATCTGGGACTGAGGCACTATGAGATCAGAATAATCCCAAACTGAGGAGCTGCCAAAAAGAGGGAGAAAAAAATATCTAGAGAACTGTCAAAGAGCAAAAGAAAAAATATGAGAGAATTCAGCAGATATGATTGGAGATTAGGAAGAATAAATGGAGACTGACACACTTCTATGAAACACTCAGAATTCATAGTGAAAACAACATCATATAAATAAGGACAGATTTTTGAATAAGTAACAAATTGTGGAAACAGAGGCGGAATAAATATACTAAACCTGTAAGTTAGGCCCCATCCTGAATCAGTGACTTTGTTAAATTCTTGATTCTGTTAAGAAGAGCTTGCAGCTTGACTATATCCCAAACTGGATATGCAGCCATTTACTTCTCTCTACAATAACACTGCTGACATTCTAGCCACCTTAAATAATTTGCTGTTCACCTTGTTAAAAAGTCTGCATTGATCTCTTCAGAGAAAGAGCATAAGAAAACAAGCATACACAGAACAGAAAAGTCAATACAAATCACTCCTCACCTCTGTTTGGAGACATGAAAACTGTTTTTCACATGCTTGTGAAAACATTTAACTTTTTCGTCTTTCAGACATTGTCATCATAGCAAAACATTTTTAGCTTTCATAAAATTCCCAGGGTCTCAGTCTCTCAGGTGAATGAACCACAGCCACATCCTGCAGCAAGGATAACAGTTCCATTCCTCTCCTACAGCGCCAGAACATTTAACTACCACCACTAGTTTCATTCCAGAGCTGATTAATGCAGTCCTGAATGGGTCTGTCTCTTCTGGGTTGGGGCAGGAAGATGGAGAAGGAAACTCCATTAAATGCTCCTTCCTAAGTATTTCTGTTTGCCTGAAAACTCTTGGATCCCCACTGACTGAAAGTTTTGCACAGATTTTCAAAGCCTGGAGGAGAAAAAAGAATAAAAGGCCTTAATTACTAGCTTTGCAAAATGACAGGGGTCTTTAATTTTAATTGATTTGCATAATTTAGGCTTAATTTTGTATTTCAAAATTCTTTCCAGAATTATATGTTATATATTTAAGCAGGAATTGTGAGGAAGGTTAAGAATAAGAGAGGTTTAAAGCTGTGAAGCTGGTGAGGGAGAAGCCTGACTACTGTGCAAACACTGGCCAGCAGCATGAGTTAATGTACACAGCGATCCTGATAACATAGCCATAATTTTCATATCAAGATGTAATCTGATATTTAATCTTTTACTGAAGGCTGTTTGTTCTACTTAACTATCAGAAGCTCAGAGCTGAGGTAAAGTTATCCATAGTGATTTGAATGGGAAATTCTCTCCCTGTAGCAAACAGCTACCAGAGTTTGGGTTTCAGTTTACATTAGCTGTACTTCCCTCATCTTTTTCCAGCTTTGGCATTTTGTTATAAAATTTATTCTCTCCTGGACACTTGATTTTAATAAGAATTGGTATGTTTGAGTGCTTCTTCAAGCAAGATCCCAGTGCTCAGAATATGGGATACTGCATGTGCAAAGCTTACATCAGCTCCCCACTGGTCACCTCACAGTTCAGCTGGGAGATCCAGAAAGATTTTCCAGCCACTGTCACAGACTTGCAATTAACAGAACCTTTCTTATTGTTCTTTGGTTTTTTACTTTCTTCTCCCAGAAGAAAAATGTAACCCCAGCACATGTGGATTACTAACTCTCCAATCTCCAATGAAGTTTTTTTACTAGGTACCTTTAACACTAACGAAAGAAGATATTACATATTGACTTGTCAAGCGGGAGTGATTTTAATTAACCTTCATCCCATGTTAAGCTATGTAAGGAGGTCAGAGAGAGGAAATTCAGCTCATTCTCACCTTGTTCTTGTGTCCCACATTTATGACAGTAGCAAACAGGGTAGTGAAGAGCAAGTCCTCTGATGAGCAGTTACATTCCCTGCTAAAGACAAAGTGAACTGGGTCTTTTTGAAAAACACTGTCAGTGGATGTAATTATAGAAATACATGTTTATTCAACTTCCTAGAGCTTGCAATGTCTGGGATTAAAAAAGCAGGTGGAGCTCTGCCCCTGTAATTAACCTGTTTAAACTGGCAGCTTTATGGCTCCTAAACAGAACTCTGACTCTTAATCAATTCACAAAGAAACAATTGTTTACAGGTAAGCAGGATAGTCTGGGATATTGGTGCTGGGTTTAACTGTTCACTCTTTCACAAATTTCCTTGTGCATGACTGATCAAATCACTGAGACTGTGTGTCCTAGGTCAGAGGAACAAGGATAAATAAGAGTTCCTTATTTCTGGGATAGGTAGTGACAAAACAATCTGAGGTTTCTTTAGGTGCACAGACATACATAGTGTGCATTTTTCCCAAAGAAGTTAAATCACAGTTTTTAAAGAAAAATTACTTACGAGCATTTCCAGCTTTTCCTCTTCTGCTGACAGCAATAGCAAAGCTACAAGTGACTAAATGCACCAGCACCCTCCCCTTCATCTTTTGGGCTCTTTCCTGTCAGTTCATGACTGATGTGTGTATGAAGATTCAGAGCCTTTTAAGCATGGCAGGAGGAATAGTTGCTTCAGTTGCTTGTGCAACCCAGAAAACTTTAATGGAAAAAAAATTAATTGAGCTGTCTGCTCAGCTTCTCACTAGACCTCCCACCTCTGCAGGAGCAGCAGAGTCTCTAAGACAAAACAATAAGAAAATACTTAAGAGCCACCTGTGTAACTTTTCACTATTGCAGAAATCCAGGTCTCTGTCAGAGTTGCTATGACTCTTAGACATCAAATTTCCCAAAATTCCAAATAGTCAAAATTCTTATGTTTTCCAAAGCAAAGGAAGAGGATTTGGCTGGGAGCATTCAGCTACACAGCTGTGACATAGCAAGCATAATTGGCTCTGCTGTTTCTCTTTAGTTAATATTTTATTTCACAGGTTGAGGACAAATAATGTCCTTTTCGAAAACACAACTATTTCTTGAGTTATTTTCCATGTCCAGAGGTCAAAAGTTATCTGCTAAATTCAATTTCATTTGCTTTTTTAATTTACTTTCACAAAAGAATATTATGTGGAATTCCCCAATCAGCTACCCACATCTCCAGGAAATTTCAATTATATATCATACTTCATATCTATGTTTTTATTTTGTCCTTGGAAATCAGTTAATCTTGCTTTCTCTAGGTGCTTCCCAAAGACAAATGTTTGGCTGATAAACCATAAATGTAATGATGAGTAGTTACCATTCCCTTTCCCCAATAAACAAAAAAAACCAGAACAGAGGGAAAAGCACCTGTCCCATGGTGGACAGATAATAAGTTAAAGTTTTTATTTTTAAATTTAAATTCCTCTTATGTGATTAAAATATTACCCAAAGTAAAACCTCATTTCATTTTCACTGCCACCTGCTATTTCCCCACCATGAACACATAGTTTCATATTAAAAATTCTGACTGTGTCTAGAGAAGACAAATGTCATCAGATTATAAGAACTGAGGGCCTGATTTGATAATGAGTTTCCCCATTCCACATTAAAATACTAAATAAATAAAAATATTTTGGAAATTATTTCTACTCTAAAAAACAGACCAAAAAAAGCATTCATTTTCTTAGTGCTAGACTAACTGCCTAAACTAAAATAAAACATACAGTTTTCATTGAGCTGTAATGATGAGTTGACCTCCTTCATTTGCCTATTAGAAGTCTTCAGCTGTTGTTGAATCAGTAAAATTGCAGCAGGCCAACCCAGATCTTTGTGTCTACAGCAATTTTGAGTATTTCTGGGATACTGTGATTCCCAAAATTCTCCCAACTGGAATAGCAGCTTAAAACTTTGAGAGAGAGGACACACTTGATTTAGCAATATATTTAGTCCTGTTTATCTCTCTTTTAGGCATATGAATAATCAAAATGAATTAGTTTGATTACAACTATATTTAAAGTTCAATATGTATTTAACTGAATTAGTTAACTACTGACTGAATCAGGACGTGCAAAAAGGAATCTGGATTTTTTTTTTATTATTTGGTTTTAAAAAAAGGAGGAATCAGCATGAAAGGGCTGGCTGGCTTGGCTCTTGAATCCTTCAAGGAGAGCTCACTCTGGAATACAACAGATTTCATGCATGAAGTGTAGGGGAAAGACAAGAAACAGTAATTCAAGAAAAGAATCCTAAAATATCTTTCTGAAGTGCTGCGTTTTCTTTCTCACACTGTTATTTTTCAGCATTTTTAAAATTCATGTATTTAATTAAAGAAAAAGTCTTCCTTATCTACAATTTTATCTTCATAAAAAAGAGATTTCTGAAGCTGCATTGCTGCTGCTATTTAATATCTCAAATCATAGTGTAAATCCACTTATGACATATTTGTTGATTACCTCATCAAAAAGTAACTGAAAAGAAAAGCAATAAACAGCTCTCTGAATGTAAGAAATGTAACAATCCAATAGGAATATCATATATTTCAGGAATAAAATCAACAAAAATTTTTAACTCACTTTTGTCCTAATAACCAAGTGATTGTTCTAAAAAAACAAAGCCCTTATTTGTCCTTAAATTCACAACATTTCTCTGACGTAGGCAGAAAGCAAAGGACAGATGTTAGTAACCACTTGTGAGAAAGACAGCATGTCACATTTAATACTTTATGTGGATTTCATGCACATTTCCACATGCATTTTTAAATCACATCTCATCAGCTGCCTTGTAGAATGCCTCTTCGTCTGCGTATCTGCAGTTTGGCTCTCAGGATGCCATGGAAGAGTGAGTAGAAAGCTGTGCGAAAGGACACCTCCTGCAACAACAAACTCCTCTCCCTTCATCCACAGCATCAGTCATTCCTCTCTAGAAGGCACAAATTTGAGCCTGGTAAATCCATGTTGGCTTCTTCAAACTACCCTCTGGTACTTTATGCGCCCAGAAAGAGCTTTCATCAAGATATGGTCAACAGCTTTTTGGAGGCTGAAGGCCAGCTGATTAGCCCGTAATCCAGAGTGTACTTGTTACCTTCCTTGAAAAATGGGAAGGATCTCAGCTACACACTTTAGAAAACCTCCAAACTTACACTCTGGTGCACTACAAATTTACCTGAGTTTTTCTCTCACTAAAACAAAATACTTTCTGTTGTTATATTGCAATTAGCCTTTACAGCACCTATTTCCTTGTATCATTATTTCTATTACAGAAACGACCATATCTCAGCTAGATCTCTCAAGAAACAAGAGCAGTTTCTTGCATATGCTTATCATTGTTAAGAGCGAAGTATAAACAAGAAGCATTTGCCTATGGGCCAGTATTGTGCAGAAAGCCTGATACTTCTCTGCAATGCAGGACTCTCATTTGGGAAGCAGCACAGCTCACATGCTTTATGGACAGGGCATTCTATAGGTGTGACACATGTTGTTGTGTGCCCCACAGGTCACACACATTGCAGATATGAAATTACAGAAGGAAACACAATAGGAAAATGTGGTTTGGACATCTAAGATATTGTCATCCAGGACTGTGGAATCTCCATTATCTATGGGATTTTAATAGAAAATTGTCAGTCAAATGCCTCTTGGGAATGGTGAGTACTTTCAGATGTGATTCATAAGGTGCAACAGATAGTGAATGAAACTTAATATTTAAAAGACCTATTGAGTTCCTCTCCAGTGAAATCATTCTTATCATCAGAACTCAGTCATGAGACTCAGCAGAAAAGGAAATTAAATTAAAGTCATGACATCAGATTTCCAAGAAATTACCACTTCCAGTTCAGTTAGCTCATCAATCCCCCAAATTAGTGCTGATAAAGGATGTGCTTCAGGTAAGCTGTAAAACCTAGATCTTAAACTTGTGAAGTTAGCAGTTTCCACAAAGAAGTGTTTTTATTTTCCAAAAGTTTGAATCAACTACTTTCCCTACTGAGTCTCAGTTTCTGTCACTCACAGTTTACTTGTCATATGCAGCTACAGCTGGAAGCTCAGTTCTCCCTCCTTTTCAGTCACTAACTCTTGGCTCTCTTAAATAGCTCCTGCCTTTCTAAGAAGCACAAAGTAATTGCTCCATTCACTTGATTTTAGAAGGGATGAAGAGATTCTTGTGTACTGCTGGAAGAGTCTTCGTGTTGAAAGGAGCTTTGAGCGGACAATGTTGCATTATTCTAAAAACTGAGGGGACAAAGGATGACAGTGTGAGCAGACAAAGGAGTACGTGGCTCCAAAATCTGATATAATTTATATATATATATACATATACACATATACATATACATATACATATACATATACATATACATATACACACATATACATATACATATACATATATATATATATATATATATATATATATATATATGTTCATCCTGCCTCAAGACTATATTCAAGGCATCCATCCAGGCATACCAGCATTATAGCAAAAGGTGTTAACTTAGAGTTTTCTGGATGTTACAAAACTTCAATTAGGTTTCAGAACAAGTTGGTTTATTTATATACTGCACTTCAGCATAGACCAGTCATTGTGCATCAGTGGTATCAGAGGTGAGGTTTTCAACAGTGAAGTGCATTTCTGAGTCTCTTTGGGTTTTAATGCTCATTGACTTGGACAGGTAATCAATTGCTGCATCTCCAAAGACCCATAGATATTGACTTCAGCCTCCAAAAGACTTTACAAAGAGTCATTTGGGGGGAATACTTTCACTTCAAATTGAATTGTAGACTATTCAATCTCTCCAGTAAAATACTGGAACAAACACTAGATGTCAATGCTCCCTCTGCATTTCTAAATAGAATGCAAATACTCCTGGCTGAATATGAGGTTCCTAGAAAGATCCCAGCTTGTTCTTTTCTCTGGCAGGTTCTTTAAATCGTTATGGATTTTATTTCCTTTACAGACAAAATGCATTACTTCCGCAGTTCTCACTCTGCTTCTCCCATAAGATAATAACAATACCTCCTTAGCATTAGGCATGAATCAGCTGTGCAAAGTCTGGAAGAAAGGAGGAGGAAAAATGATTCAGCAATAAATTAACTTGATGCTTATCTCTTGGTTTCTTGCCTACACATCTGATAAAAGACCAAGGAGTGAAAAAGATGGGAAAGATTTATTTTAAACAGTGTATTTTTGTTACACATAACCTGCTTTGTACAGCAGATTAGATTATTATTTTTTTCATACTCTGCTGAAAAATGAGTGATACTAACAGAATCAGCAGAATTAATAAACATGAATGACTCAGCTTGCTTGGCAGTAACAGGTACATTGCAATTCCTTCCCTTCACACAGTCACAATCAAAGAATCCATTAGGTTGGAAAAGACCCTTGAGGTCAAATCCAATTTTTAACAGATCACCATCCTATCAACTAGAACAAGGCACTATGTGCTGCATCCAATCTTTTCTTAAACTCATGCAGGGACAGTGACTCCACCTCCTCCCTGGGCAGCCAGTTCCAACGTTTAGCTATCATTTCTGTGAAGAAATTCCTCCTGATGTCCAATCTGAAACTCTCCTGGCACAGCCTGAGGCTGTGTCCTCTTGTCCTATCCACTGGTTGTCTGGGTGAAGAGGTCAATCCCCACCTGACTCCGACCTCCTTCCAGGTAGCTGAAGATGATGAAGAGACTCCTCTCCTCTCTCTTCTTCTCTTCTGCAGGCGAAAGAACCCCAGCTTCCTCACCTTCTCCTCAAAGGACTTGCTTTTGCCAGATTATTTCTATGAACTGCCAGTCTTCAATATGTCTAACAAACCTATAAAAAGGATACCAAGTAGCAGGTATAAACAGAATTTTTTTTTTTTTTTTCAAAAAAGAAGTGGTGTTTACAAAAAAGAATGTAGTAATTCAGAAATGTAGGCTCTAGTAAATGTTTTTGACTCATTAATAGTTCTTAGGATGTCGTACATGAACAAGGTTAGGTATGAAAGCATGTACAACATGAACACTATGTAAATATTTTAGCTAAGCACATCAGCTATGCTCCTCTTGCATGCAATATATTTACTGTGATATATTTGTCACGTCCGAGACTGATCCCCCTGATATACCATCCAAACCCGATATTTTTACTTCAGTAAAACACTAATGTGCCTCAAAATCATGTGTAGTTCCAGTTTAGGCCTGCAACCAGCATCTTCCATATGTCCTCAGCCCTCCACCACCTGACAGTGTCCTTCAGCTTCCACACTGAGCCAGCCCTGCAGCAGGGGTAGGATATGAGCATCTGCAGCTTGGGCAGGCAGGGCTGAGGAAGACAGGTCTATGTATACCAGGTATAAATATCTTTCACTAGACCCAGGATCTTCCTCTGCCCCATGAAAGCTTTAAAATTAGCCTCAGAATATGCAGAGGTACTCCCTGCTCCAAATAGCAAGGAATTACTAGTACCCTAGGCAGGTGCTAATGCAATGGAAGGGTCAAGGAAAGGTCCAATGGATAAAATGAGTTTCAAAAAGGGCACTGAGATATTCAGGCACTGTAAAGTAAAAAAAAAAAAAAAAAAAAAAAAAAAAAAAAGTTATTTTCAGGAATAAAACTACTTTGTCATACTGAAGCTATTGTGGTTTCCAACACAGGTGCTGTTAAGAAGGGTAGTCCCACTTAGGCAGACAGACTAAAAAAAAATGTACATAGATCAAAATGCAGATAGAAAGGCAGGCAGGCAAGCACACAGAAAGATAGTCAGACCATTAATCCAAATACTTAGAACTCAAATAGATTATATTTCCAAAGAAATCAATGTACAAAGAGTACTCTTACATGATCAGCATGCATCCCTAGAAGTACAGGATGAGGAGCCATCCCTGCTGTAATCCCCATGTGAGACTGGACTTCAGCACCTGGATCCCTCATCAGCAGTAATGCCCATGGCTGCAGATTGTGAAGGGTGCACACAATGCTTCCTTTTACCCTTCTGAGAAGAGGGAACACACTCTCCCAAAGCAGAGGGTCAATTCTTTCTGAAGAAAGGCTTTGCCTCCTCATCCACATCTCCCTCTGCTCTGCTAACCTCCCCTCTGGGAGTGCTCTCACTACCTTGGTGTGGGAGGTTACATGGTTTACATGGGGGGCTGGAGATATACCGTAAATCAGACCTTCATCAGCTACATGAACTTCAGGAAAAAAAAGACCTTTAGCTGGGAATGCTGCAGAGCCTACAGCTCCTTCTAATCTATAAATAAGATTTGTAATGCTGCATTGAGAAGAAACAATGAAAATGCCCTCAATTAAACTACCCTCAAAAAATGCATCCAAGGAGATTTATATATATTGAATAATATAAGTATTCCTCTCAACAGGCAGCATAGCAAGTGTTTAAACCTACCAACCCTTTTATCACCATGTTATTTGTTTCTTTGTTGTTTTTAACTGATAGTATTTGGTTTTCTTTTGTCCACGTCTCCCTAACCCTATTGCACTGGTGGATTTGCCTTGTGTATTTATGGTGGTTTTGATTAGCCCCTATGTAAACTAATTTATCTGTATGGTTCATGGGGATTTGTGATCTCACTACCTGAAATAATTTCCTGCTCTTCCTGTCTCTGCATCTTGTTTTGTACTCTGCTAATTTCTGCTTTTGCTTTTCACCTGTTCCTTCCAAGTTCAGAGGACCTTCTGCTTTCTCCAGCTAGCCCCTTAAATTTCTTCACAATTCTGACACAAAGATTTGCCAAAAATTTTCCCACACAGCTCTCTGCTACCTCAGGTTTGCAAGCTCTCCCCAGGAGTGGGAGAACTGAAGCAATCCAAAGCAGGGCTGTGGGAAGGAAAGCTCATGTTTCAGTTTCCCTCACCGTACCAGCAAGAAGCAAAATGATTTGCTGCCACACAGTGATAGGAAAATCCAGTCTGGATGCAAGAAACAGCAGCAAGCAGAGCGATTTTGAAATGTACCTTTACCCAGGCAACATCAAAGTGTTTACTGCCCCATATTTCTGCTCCCTTCCACACCCTCAGAGCTGCTCACTTATACACATCTGTCTATTCATTAACATCTAATTAAGCTGTACATCTGCTGCAGCTTTACATCAGCATTGCATTCCCCCACATTTAAACTGCCTGAAGCTTTCTGTCTTTTTTTTTTCATATTTGTTTCCGGTGCAGTAAGAGCTAAAAAAGCCTTTTCATGCTGATTGACAAAGAGAAAAAAATAAATTCTGGGTTTTGAAAAGGATGAAAGAGCAAAGCATGCTTCTCATCCTAAACCAATTTCTCCTCAGGGATGTACCCCGGAGAGTCAGGGAGGTTTCTTTTAATTAAAGGAACAATGAAAAAGGAAGAGTGTGATAGCTGTAGACACCACAGTCAATGCAGAAATTGGTTAAAATTAGTTCTGGCTTTTTCTGCCATGAGAAGGAGTTGCACATTATCACCTTACCTCATTTATTCTGCTGCTTGTTTCCAGCCCATTTCTACATTCACAAAAGCTAAAGCAATGCCAGAGATTAATGGTCATACCAAAGTCATTTCCTGCCCAGATCTCATACTACCTCAGCGTGCTTTACTTAGATAGCTCATACACAGTGATGCTCCAGAAAGCCACGGTAGCTGGGAACACCCCTTGCCTCCTTTTTTTGCTGGTTCTGACAGGTCTGAGGAATGGACATGAAGCAAGCAGTTCCAATGCCTGCTGGCAGATAGGCTTGCCCATTCTCGTTTTTCCTAAATATGGGCAGATTTCTACCCTGAATTACAAAAGAGAGATCTCAGGGAATGTGCCTGGGTATGTTTCAGTCACCCCTAAATACACTGGTGTTTGGATGTTGGACTTCGTGCTTTCTACCACCATTTTCAGTGCGCACAATTTCACAAAGATCTTAAGATGCTGAACCCCAGACCAAAGGAAAAATACATTAGCTAAAGAGGTTTATGACAAAGCAGCATGCAGCACTGATCCATTACTGCTATCAGAAGTAACTTATCCATGCAAACAATGTCCCACTGTGGCATTTCAGCACAGAAATATTTACCATAAAGGCAGAATTCCTTCAGCAAAGCAAAGCTGCCTGCCTCACTGCTGACAAGAAAAGACTTCCATGAGGTCCACAGTTCTCAGAAAATATTACATACACTGGTAAAACTGTTTAGATTGTGGCTGTCATCACTCAGGTTCTTCAACTTGTTGATGACCCAGAAAGATTTGATGTGTAAGTGCTCTGCCAACAGATCTCCATGTTAAGCATTTAGGGTCATGATCACATCTATAATTTACTGAGATTCCATTCAAATTCCCTGCAGTAACACAGGCAGTAGTGCATTTTTTACACATTTGTCAAAATTATTTGAAGACTTCAATACTGATAGCACATGTCAACTACAAGTGAAAGTCCCATGAAAATATTTTATGGATGGAGGTCTTTTTCCTCTCCTCCTTTACACAGTGGGCCAAAAATCTGATGTAAATGACTTTTTGGGACTTTTATTCTGAGCATTTAGATATCTTTTACAAAGACATTGAGGCTTGATTTAGAAGTTGCCAGTGAGATAACCCATCATAACTGGAAGAAAGTTGTTCCAATGGTTAATTGCTCTCTTTTAATTTACCTAAGTCTAGCTTCCAGATCCTGAATACCATGGATTCATCTTTCTGACAGAAGTACCACCTACAATAAGCCATCTCTTCCCACGATCACCTCTTAATTTTCTCTTTGATGCACTAAACAGATAAAATTTTCTTGCTTTTTCCCTAGAATAATGTGTTTTTCTATTATTCTTTTCTCAGTCCTTTTCAATCCTTCATAACTTCTTTTGAAGGATGATTATTAGAACTCAAAACAAGAGAGTATCATTAGTGCCAGAGGCTCATGACTCATAAGAGCAGTTATAACTCTCACTTAAGCAATTGAAACAGCTAGAAACATGCTAGTCCCTCTTCATGCCTTGACAACCAAAAAAGTAGAACTTCCTTGTTCATATATGATACTTCTCAACCAGCTCTTCAGAAGCTGTATTGAGCCTTAGCTGCATCAGGCTGCCCACTCATGTTCCCTGCTCTGGTGTTGTTTTGCTGCTCTGGTGCTCTTCAGTTAATAATTCTGAGAAGGAAGCTCTAGCTTCCTAAGACTGACACGATTTCTGCATACCTGGCAATACAGCCCTGTAGGATAAGGACAGACACATTTGTGTATGTGACATACGTACTTGTTTACTCCTGCAAACGATCCAGAGCAGCCTCTATTCCCCGTATGCAATTTATCATTGTTATCCATTTAGTAATTCTGTGTCATCAGAAATACAAATGTGGTATTTACAAGTGCAGTCCTTCCAGATTAGTCCTAGTCAAGAATAAACAATGGCAGCACCTGCCCAGAAACAAATTTTTAGGGCTGTGACTCAAATTTATTCTCACTTAGTCCCTACCCAGCTTCCCTGGGCTCTCTTCATTTTGTTTACCAGTAATTTTCTCGCAGAACACTATGTCAGTATATTACCTATCTCAAAAACGCCTTAGGGACATTATATCACAGAGAAACATTCACTGAACACATCCAGGACCTCAAAAACTGCACTCTCTGCTTGACAGAATCTATCTTCTATAAAAGCATGCTCATGGCATGAATTATAATGCCATTTCCTTCTGCCCTCCCATTTGTGCCTTTCCTTGATTTTGCCACCAGTACACACTCCATGGTTTCTTTGGCAAATTTGCTGAACTGTTTAAGTGATTAGAATTAGATTACATGTAATTATATACTGGAATATTCCCATTTTTTCCAAGATTTGTTTAAAAAAATAATGCATGTCTGAGGGAGA